CCTCCCCGGATTTCCAGTCGATGATGGGTTGATGTTGGACCATCCAAGGGCGTCCCAGAATGAGCTCAGCAGTGGACTCCTCCAGCACCATGAAGGAGATCTCTTCCGAGTGCAGGCAGCCGATGCGGAGTGTCAGTGTGGGGGTGAAGTGACGAATTCGACCTCGACCCAGCGGTCTACCCTGGATGGTTTGGACTCGGAGATCTTGATGACTTCGGCGTTTACGAATGTTAAATTTTTGTAGGAGTTGAGTGGAAATGAAGTTCCCCGCCGAGCCGGAGTCGAGGAGGGCTTGTGCTGAGACACATACACTGGAGGTTAATAAATGAACAGTTGTGCGGTTCAAGGTTGAAATCTTAGGAGGAATCTGAATGGTGCTTACCGCAGGGCGTTGAGGTCGAATAGGGCAGGAGTTGATGAGATGTTTATCACCCCCACAGTATAGACAAAGACACTGTTGAATTCTACGCTGCCACTCTAAAGAAGAAAGATGATCGGTGACGGGGAACGGTGGGTGGATTAGCCGGTGTAGAAGGAAGTAAGGACTGGCGAACAGCCTGAACCAGTTCCGCGAACGGATCGCGAGATGGATTCTCCACGGGCTCCGCTGGACTCTGCATTTCGTTGGTCTGGTCTTCTGTCACGGATGGAACAGGAGTCAGACAGGTGGTAAGTGAAATAGTGTTTATTTACAGGTTGCAGATCCAGACAGAGATATGGTGAGTATGCAAGCAGATGATATTCAGGATGGAACTTAGCTGAAGGATAACCAGAGTCTTTGTTTACAGATGCGGATGGAGAGTCACTGGGAACAGGCTGATGACCGGAGACTGGAGACTGAATTCCGTGTGAAGGTTAGCAGGTGATCGATGGATGGAACTCAGGTAGGTAGCGGGTAAGTTGCAGGTTAGGTAAGTAGTTTGATAGTCTGTAGTGTCATGTAGAGACGAGACCATACAATGAGTGTGTGAAGAGGAATTGAATATATAGGGAGGTGAACTGATGAGGTGCAGGTGATGGTGATTAAAACTCAGGGGACTGTGAACGAGTGGTAGGAGTGAGTGAAGCTGGTGGAATCCTGACAATAGTAGGGGGTTGAACGACTGCAAAAAAAAATTAATTCATCATTTATGTGATTAAAGTCAAGTCGACGTGGAGTGGACTTTTCACCGATTACGTCTTTAATGAACAAATAAGCCTGAAGGGTTGCCTTGTGCACATAGCTATGGCATATGACACAGCGTTGCCAGCTTATTTTTATCAGCTCTTTTATCTTTGGGTCATAATATTCCTCACAGATTTCTCCTAGTTCTAAATCAGATACATATAACACAGTAAAGATTACATTTATATGTGCATTACTGAGATATTGATTGCATGTGAATTAATTATATCTGGAAGCGTCTCTCTACTAATAGTGAAGCTGTGGGTTTTAATTACCAAGAAATATATGGTAGAATTTTTCAGCTTCTAAGCTATTTTATTGATAAATCTCAGAACAGTGTTGACAATACATTTCTGCGCTACTGAATATTTCTGGTCGCACAATCTGCACGTGATGTGCGAGCTACAGTTTGTATGTGTGCATTACAATGCGTCAGCACTTTGATTTAGAATGCCGACGTACAAATAGCTGTTTAAAACGTGCATTCACCCTATCAATGTTGAGGATCCAGATGGTATAATCAAACATATATTGTGGAGCGCTCTCAGAGTAGACTATTTATTTGTCATTTTAACTGACAAATAAATGGAGAAACAGCTCGTAAAAGTGGACTTCAAAGATTTCTTATCCTGTTGCGCCCTCTATAGGCCATGATCAGCGACTAGTCAACGTCAAGCTTAAAGCGACATGGCAGAGCATTAAAGTTGACTGCTATACTAACAAGAAACTATTATTCTAACTTTAGAAGACTTTACAGTGGCCACAGCATGCACATGTCCACAATAATGTATGTCCCATTTGTTATTTTAGGTTTCACAAGGGTGCTCAAAAGCACACACGGAGCAGACTTCTGCCAAGCCACAGGCTTCAACCCGACAAAGCGGCATCGTGTCACAAAAGTGAGGACTTGGAGGCAGTCATCAAGGGCTTAGGGTGTCATTTGGGACAGGGCCATTGCCTGTGCAAAAAGCCTGTTTCTCCTTTGATAGCCTTTCAATGGTAGCTATACACTCACCGGCAACTTTATTAGGTACCCCATGCTAGTAACGGGTTGGACCCCCTTTTGCCTTCAGAACTGCCTCAATTCTTCGTGGCATAGATTCAACAAGGTGCTGGAAGCATTCCTCAGGGAGTTTGGTCCATATTGACATGATGGCATCACACAGTTGCCGCAGATTTGTCGGCTGCACATCCATGATGCGAATCTCCCGTTCCACCACATCCCAAAGATGCTCTATTGGGTTGAGATCTGGTGACTGTGGAGGCCATTTTAGTACAGTGAACTCATTGTCATGTTCAAGAAACCAATTTGAAATGATTAGAGCTTTGTGACATGGTGGAAGTAGCCATCAGAGGATGGGTACATGGTGGCCATAAAGGGATGGACATGGTCAGAAACAATGCTCAGGTAGGCCGTGGCATTTAAACGATGCCCAATTGGCACTAAGGGGCCTAAAGTGTGCCAGGAAAACATCCCCCACACCATTACACCACCACCACCAGCCTGCACAGTGGTGGCAAGGCATGATGGATCCATGTTCTCATTCTGTTTACGCCAAATTCTGACTCTAACATCTGAATGTCTCAACAGAAATCGAGACTCATCAGACCAGGCAACATTTTTCCAGTCTTCAACTGTTCAATTTTGGTGAGCTCTTGCAAATTGTAGCCTCTTTTTCCTATTTGTAGTGGAGATGAGTGGTACCCGGTGGAGCAACATGACATCATGACTTTGCGTAAACATACACGCCACTTTCAATTCAAGTGGCGTGTTATCTATACGCATTTTGAGCTATCCGCGTGTATGTCCACGCCGAAATCTTTTGCGTGTATGTCTACGCCATTAAATGTCCGAGTGATTCCGCGTGTATGTGTACGCCGTTAAATGTCCGAGCGAAACGAAGCAAAATCTATATCTACATCTGTGGAGCGATATTTATTTTCCTAGGATGGTAGGAGAAGACTCATAAATGGTATTAACCCCAGTGACGGGTAGGTTTAGGGACGGGGTTGGGGTAGGTAATATATTTATATATACATAATACAGTAATATAACGTTAAGTCAAAGGCGTTGATAAACACGCTGAAAAGCGATTATGCGTGTTGATAGCACGCCAAAAATGAAAATACGAATTGGCGTGTCATACATACGCCATTTCATGAGATCAGTCTGGAGTCTTCTGCTGTTGTAGCCCATCCGCCTCAAGGTTGTGCGTGTTGTGGCTTCACAAATGCTTTGCTGCATACCTCGGTTGTAACGAGTGGTTATTTCAGTCACTGTTGCCCTTCTATCAGCTCGAACCAGTCTGGCCATTCTCCTCTGACCTCTGGCATCAACAAGGCATTTCCGCCCACAGAACTGCCGCTCACTGGATGTTTTTTCTTTTTCGGACCATTCTCTGTAAACCCTAGAGATGGTTGTGCGTGAAAATCCCAGTAGATTAGCAGTTTCTGAAATACTCAGACCAGCCCTTCTGGCACCAACAATCATGCCACGTTCAAAGTCACTCAAATCAACTTTCTTCCCCATACTGATGCTCGGTTTGAACTGCAGGAGATTGTCTTGACCATGTCTACATGCCTAAATGCACTGAGTTGCCGCCATGTGATTGGCTGCTTAGAAATTAAGTGTTAACGAGCAGTTGGACAGGTGTACCTAATAAAGTGGCCGGTGAGTGTATATTCTGACCAAATTCTGTAATGTAAAATTGTACAGACACTTTATGGAATGTCTCTTTTATAAAAGACAAAAAAAAGAGTAAGTTTTACTCATATATTACTCAGTTTAAGAAATGTTTTGTGTTGTTCTAAATCTGTATAACTTTCTTCTCTGGGAAACAAAAATACATGCGATGAAAGTACAGTAAATGGGGTCCAAATGCATTAAGGTTTGGAATGACATGAAGTTGAGTAAATGATGATTATCCTTGACTATTATAATTTAATTTTTATATTATTTTACTTTTTGTGAACTATTCTTTTACTGAGAATACTGACAGGATGCTAGACATCTAGAGAACATTGTACATGTTGCTTTGGAAAAACAGCAGTATATAAAAAAAAGACCTCTGGTTTTGAAAAAAAAGAACTTATTGCCAAGCACCAAGAGCTCACTACAGGAGAAAACCCCTAAAACCTGGACATGGAGGTGTGGGTCAAGAATAATAAACTTCACTTTGTACACACATAATTACATTTTCACATCTGGTAAATGTCAGCAGAGGAGAAACACAAAAAAACAAAGGAGGGACTGCACTGGACTAAAGTTACCAAAGGAGGAGAAACCAAACTTAGCAATGTCTTTATCTGTAGTTCAAGGTTTTACAGACCTATTGCTTGTTTTAAGGTTAACTATGTTTGCATTGCACATCCAGGCACAGAAAAGGTTCATAACAGTTACATGAGTGGAACTAGTGAAGCATTTTTTTTTTTTGGTAGACACCACATGATTTCATATTTTGTGATGAGGAAATTACATTTTAAGTGAGCCATAAGTGTCCAAATACGTTTTTAGGGCTGTTGCAGGAATTTCTGTTAGCGTAGAAAAGACTAGGCAGTAAAAAGTGACACAGCAATGCGACAAGACTCAAAGGACTTTATGAGAATAGATTTAATATATACACTATTCCTGACATTTTTTTGTTGATCGATAAGTAAACAAAATGTTTTTGTATTTTTAATCTTATACGATATTATTAAATTCTATATAAATCTAAGAAAAATTCAAAACACTGAGCAAAGTGGAACATCTTACTGTTTATATGTTAACTTCAAAACTTGCAACACACAAAATAGTCCGTCACAGTGGTGATGACAGTGGAATTAGAGAGTAAAAAGTAAAAATAAATAAATAAACAAAAATCAGGCAGAGACTTTGTTTGGCGTACAAAAAAATAAATAGAAAATGAAGAGCATGACACATAGGTTAAAAAATTAAAGACTCTGTATGACTTCTGAAACTTCAAACAGTGCACCTGGAAAACATCCTAATGCTCCATGTAGAGTTTTGAACATAATACTGAACATAATTCTGCAAAAGCTTGACTGTTTGTTATAATAAAGCTTATCTTAAAGTAACATACAGAACATAATGCAGAGGCGAAAAATTTATATATTTTGCTGGCAAAAAAAAACAAACAAACCGCAAAATAAAACCAAACAACAATCAATTAAAAGTATGACAACATTTGATGCCACTCAAACCAAAATTACAATTTGTTTGGTTTATACTGCCCACTTGTGGTCAATCTGGAGGGTTTGAAAAATGGTGAAGACCTCAACCATGGACACAGCTTCAATTTTCTCTTCTCTTCAAACCTGAGAACATCTTGGTGCACATATCTCTCTCTTTGTCTAAATAGTCCTTGTAGCACCTGTAAAAGATCAGTTGATTAGTTTAGCTTTCACATTCACACTTGCAAGAAGACTTGACAAAAATATGAGAATGAATACTTACAGAGCAAGCTTTTTCAGCAAGGTGTTGATGTCAGGGTCAAATGGCTTTTTCGCCTGAGCAAGTGTAAGGTAATCTTGTGCTTTCTCATAGTCTTTCATGTCCAAACAAGCCTCATAAAAAAAGAAAGTTAATTCTAAATATCATATCAATACAACCATATGGCCTTAATTGGCAAACTGAACACAAATAAAAAGCCACAACTATGAAAACCTGCTTGGAAGATTCTTTCCAGAAGCTGAAGTATTCACTACCGGTCAAAGGTTCAAATCATTATATAACTAATCGGCATATTGCTATGATTTTCGAAGGATCATATGACACTACTGGGGTAATGACTGCTGAAAATTTCACCTTTTCATCACAGGAATAAATTACGTTTAAAATTATCAACAGTCCTTTTAAATTATAATAACATTTCACAATATTACTGCTTTTACTGTATTATTGTTCAAATACATGCAGCCTTGCTGAGTATAAGAGAAATTACTGTGTATGGAAGGATTTACTAGTTTGCTGCAATGTATTTGAATGATCTTAGGCCATTTTCACACCTGGCTCGTTTGGAGCATTTGTTCCCTTTCGATTTTGGTTCACTCAACATTGCGTCAGAAGCTGACGCCATGAGGGAAACTCCTTTCGCTGAGACATACTGAAGCCTAATTGAATAACGCTGCTGCACATTCAATAGCCAATGGCGTTCAAGCGAGCAAAATAGAGACGAGCCTGCTCCCTATATAAAGCGGCACTGAGCGAGATTGCCTCAGAATTGTTCTTCTTCACGAGAAGTCTTCAAGAAGCTTCATCGTGATTCATTACATTCAGCGGACAATGATTTTGCACCAATCCCCTTTGCATTCCAGCAAAGACATGGAAAAAGCTACCAGACCCTGCACCGCCTGTTCGGGACCCATCGAACGAGAAGTGCGACAATACCATGTCAACAGCAGTGTCTGACACACAGGACTGGTCTCACAGCCCTACAGAGGAGACCTACTCCATCTGGCATGACCCGCGCTCGTGCCCACATCTTCGGCTCACCCATTTAAAAAAAATTATAATAATCACAAAGGACTAAAGCCCCTATTGTATTATGCAGGGTGTGGCTAGCGCTTCCGAGCAATCTCAGAGTGGGCAACATGGCATCATGATTTTGCGTAAACATACACGCCACTTTCAAGTCAAGTGGCGTGTTATCTATATGCATTTTGAGCTATGCGCGTGTATGTCCACGCCGAAACGAACCGTCATCTTTTGCGTGTATGTCTATGCCGTTAAATGTCCGAGTGATTCCGCGTGTATGTGTACGCCGTTAAATGTCCAAGCGAAACGAAGCAAAATGTAGATCTACATCTGGGGAGCGATATTTTTTTTCCTAGGATGGTAGGGGAAAACTCATAAATGGTAAATTAACCCCCGTGAGGGGTAGGTTTAGGGACGGGGTTGGGGTAGGTCATATATTTATACAGTAATGTAACGTTAAGTCAACGGCATTGATGCACACGCTGAAAAGCGATTATGCGTGTTGATAGCACTCCAAAAATGGAAATACGAATTGGCGTGTCATACATACGCCATTTCATGAGATCAGTCTGGAGTGGCATAAGAAAAGAGAACCAGCGGTTACACGCTTCAGTCTGCTCACAGACCGGCACGCTTCAATGGCGTTGTAATGTCTGTGGTTCAACCCTAAGATGAGCCAGTTTTAAGAGCGGAGATCCACAAACTCCTCGCGAAGCGAGCTGTGGAGATTGTGATCGCTGAACTGCGGGCCCGACATACTGTCGAGGGATGGAATAGTCCAAGGAAAATGGAGGCCGCATCCTCTGACAGTGAATATGATTTGGAAGATTCTAAAACCAGCGGAGGTGGATCTGTTGGCATAAACAGAGAACTGCCCACTACAGTAGATCTGCACGCTTCTGGATAAACTGAGAATCACACATTTTTTGTTTCAAACTATCACACCGGGTAGTTCTAGGTACTAGCCACCAGGGTGGTTCCCCGAGAACTAATGGTTCCCCTAGGAACGTTTTCCTGGTTGCATTCGCACCGCCAGTAGGAACTCTGAAGTTACATAAGCCCCGCTTGTTGTTGTGACTTTTATTTTGACGGCGGCGGATTGTTGTGTTGGATTTTCTCCTCAGCGTAAAGGTTTAGAGGTCCATCTATTACCGCTTTCCATGTTCATAGAGTTAGTTTCTGGAGTAAATATATATAGGCTATAATCTGTGCGTTTACACAGCCTTTTTAAAAATGGCGGGTGCGTTCGCTAAAGCTCAGTGCCTCCAACATATTGACTAAGTGAAAACTCCCGTTATAATCAATGATTCTGACAACAATGCACAATTATTCTCTTATTTACATTGTGTTGTTTTTATATAATGAGAGGATTCGCGAACGTGCTTTGGCTAAAATCTAAGAGCTCGCTCTTAACAAACTTCAGCGTTTTCAGCTGTGTTGAGTGGATTCAGAGCAACTTAAACAGATATGCTCAACAGATATGTCTGTAATTGTCAATGCTCAACTCTGCAAAAACACGTTGTAAATAGAAATCTTTGACACTTTTCACAGACCGTGTAAGAGCCATAATTGGAATAATTAAAATTTCACACTAAAAGCTTACATGTTTGAGTAAGTATTTAAATTAATTTAGGTTTATGTTATTTATGTACATTCGTTGAGCACCCCGTTTAAGTTGCAATGGTTTGCTCTGTTTTAGTATTGGAACTTCTTTAGCACCTTTAAAGGGATAGTTCACTTTGAATTTAATTTTTGATATGTTTTAGCTTACCTCAAGGGCATCCAAGATGTAGGTGTCTTTGTGTCCACAGTATTTTCAATTTTGATATTTTTAGGTCAAACCGTTCTTGTCTGTCAGTCATATTATGCAGCTCTATGGGGTCCACCTCAAAGAGCATGCACAGAGAAGTCCAAATTAAACATGATTTAATGACTCGTAAATGTAAGTACACATTGATGGCCTAAGACACGAAACGAGCGGTTTGTGTGAGAAAACGAACAGTATTTATATCGTTTTTACCTCTTGTAAACACAGCCACGTCCAAGTGTTCTAAGGGCGCGGGCGCTTCGGTCTTTTCCGGAAAGCACCGGAAGTGATCTCTCGCGCGTGTACGTCACTCATACAATTTTTTTTAAAAATTTTACGACGGTTTAAACATACCGGATAAGCGCAAATTAGTACCATTTTAATTAGCCGTCTTACCTACAATCTGTGTAAACAATGAGTGACGTACACGCGCGAGAGATCACTTCCGGTGCTTTCCGGAAAAGACCGAAGCGCCCGCGCCCTTAGAACACTTGGACGTGGCTGTGTTTACAAGAGGTAAAAACGATATAATACGGTTCGTTTTCTCACACAAACCGCTCGTTTCGTGTCTTAGGCCATCAATGTGTACTTACATTGCTCTTTGAGGTGGACCCCATAGAGCTGCATAATATGACTGACAGACAAGAACGGTTTGACCTAAAAATATCGAAATTGAAAATACTGTGGAAACAAAGACACCTACATCTTGGATGCCCTTGAGGTAAGCTAAAACATATCAAAAATTAATTTCAAAGTGAACTATCCCTTTAAAGCTGCAGTCCGTAGCTTTTTTTTGGGGTTAAAAATGATCCAAAATACATATTTGAGAAAATACATAACCAACCACAACCAGCCAGTGTTCAAAACTATCTGCTTGCCTTAGCTCGATTCAAAACGGTAAGCTTGTAATAATGTTTTTAATTCTAGTGGTACTGGTGGATTTCTGCGGGAGATTCGAGCATGTCTTTGCGTCATTACGTCACATCTGTACACATAAAGGAGGAGTCTCGGCTAGTAGGCTATGTTGCGAGTGAGGTGGAGATCTATAGCCTTTTCTCACAGCACTTGATATAATTAAACTTATCAATTTGATGGCAGATCCAGAAAGGTGCAAACGACAATCACCAGTGACAAATAGAGATTCACCCGCTGTAAAATGCAAAAGACTTCGTTCGGACTTCAATGGAAAAAAAAAAAACTGCAACCGGACCCATGCGAAAACAAGGATACATATCGGAAGGACATTACATGTAGTCACGCAATGCTGACGTTGTTAACATTAACAATTTGAGAACAAAGTATAATTTGCACGGTTTTACGTGATATGATAAACGATTGTTAGATTTAATCAGCGTGATTTACTGCAATGTCAGAACCAGAACAAAAGTGGATGTTACTTACTTGTTCAGATGACATTTTCCAGTGAAAATTATTATGTTGGTCATACTTCCAAAAAGAATAATCTGTGATTCTGAATGACAGTATCCTGGTGATTGACAGCCGCACATTCTCCTCAAACATTGTGTTCATCCCATGTCGAAGTACAACTCACGTAAAGTTGATAATTCCGCGAACAACTGCAATTGCAGATTTAGAACAGAGATGGCGACAAAGAGGAAAAACTGCGAACTGCAGCTTTAAGAATTGACGTTTTCCTTTAAGAACGAAAGAAAGACGGAGCAACACAGTTTTAGACCGAAGTTTATTTATTGTTTATTTTCTGTTTGTGCAAGAACTTTCAGTAAACAAATGAAACTTGAACGAAGACCCGAGTCAATTCTTTGCCAGAAATAATAACAAAGGATTAACAAAGGACAAATTATTGCTACTACAGACCGCTTACACAAAATACACACGGGAGTATAAAAATTGTATAGTTATTCTCTTATTTTATATCATCAGCACTAGGGCAGCACGATTAATCGAAATTGAACCGAAATCGCGTTTTGGCTTAATGCGCTTATGAAATCGGAAATTTTGATTTTTTTCCCCGATTTTTTTATTAAATAAATAGGCTATATGCACACCATTTAGTGAAGAGGGGCTCTGTGATCAGTAGTAAATGCTGCTCCATCTCTGAAACCACTGCGAGTTTGAGTCACTTACTACGTGCAGTCGTGCATTTGAAAAAGAAACATGATTCAAACATCTTTCCAAACTTGTAATGCGAAGCGTAAACATGTTGTCCAACAAATGACAACGTTTAATAACATGTTTTTACTCACTTCATATCGTCAGTCAAGTGTTTGGAATTTCCTTTTGAGCTGATGTGGCTTCTCATAGAATGAGGCAGACAATATATTATTTTATAGTATTCTATTCAATAATAAAGGCTATGCATTATGCAATATTGAATAATGCAATATTCAGTACAGGTATACCGCGCACGCAACCCTAGTTTTGGCATACATTAACACGACAAATGTGCTCCGAGTTGCACCAAAATAATCGATCCGAGATCACCTGAACGAGGTAGTCTCGGTCTAAATGAAAATTACACCAATTGACTTTCAAGCAGTTCGGTTCTGGTGAGAAAGAAGTCTGACCAGACGGACCAGCGAATCATGTAGCATAATTTAAAATGGGAAATGCATTACAAAAAAAGCAGCACTGTCTGCCAGAACGCTGTGCTGACAAAGCATTGATTCTCACTCTAATTGATATGATCTTTTGGAGATATTGATGCATAAACACATTTTGGTATGCTTTGAAATGTGACCTTGTGAAAGTGAACCGAACCATGATGGAGAAAATGCAACATTGTAACAATTTAAGTCCCTGTTTCAGAACAAAAACAAACGATCTACACGTCTGAAAACACCCTTAATTTTGGTGCTTTTCTCAGCAAATATTAATATTTGTGATCAGCTAATTAATTTATCAGCATATCACTTGATTTTAATTAAAATTTTGACTTGATTGACAGCCCTAGATTTCACAGAGAAATCAGCTTTTTGCTAAAAAATAAATAAATTATGGCCAGATTTTCAACAAAGGAGGTAAAAATGTCAAAATATTTCCCAACCTGGCCGCAGCGGAAGAGAGCTTTAGTGTTCTGGGGGTTGATGTCCAGTGCTTTCTGGCCAAAGCAAAGAGCCTTCTGGGGTTTTTCCAGTTTAAGGTACGTGAGTGAGAGGTTGAGCAGGAAAAGCAACTTTATCTCTTCAAGACGCTGCTTCTCTTCATCATCCATCGGCTCACGATTCTGCAAAAGTGTCATGGCCTATACCATGGGATAACAGTATGTTACACTGAAAAAAAAATCTCAGTCTATAGTTAGAATAAACTACTAATTTTCAGAGCACATTTTCCTTCTATCCATTTACAAACTCTCATACTTGCGAAACATAAGACACGTATAAGCAGAATACCTGCTTGTATCTCTCTCGAGCATCTTCGTAGCGCTTCTTATTGTAGCAGAGGTTGCCAAAGCTCCGCTGTGTTTCCAGCACATTCAGCAAGGTGGACAGAGGAACAGTGTTCTGCTCTTCCTGCGGAATGTTAAAATCACAATCTTAGATACCACAAACAAAATAAAAGAGAAAGCTGAATGCATTTAATCGTACCAAAGTCAAATCCATGAAATCATCCACTTGTGCCGAGTCCAGAAAATCCAGGACGTGCACCTCATAGAGGACTGTGGCTAATGGAGGTATGTGTGGGGGGCACCCAAGGTCCCCATAGGCATATTTGGGCTTGAAGAGAAAACGAGAGAACTCGCCTTTCTTCATAGTAAGAAGGCCGAGCTCTAGGCCATACAAAGTAACATCTACGGAGAAATAGGTTTGAGTGTCTAGCACTGGACAAACATACGCTGGCCGAGAGAGCTCAATGCGCTGCAACTGAAGCAAACACATGCAAATAGAAAAAAACACCTGCGAATAAAAAAAAAAACATCATCATCAGTTTCACAACACACGTGTGCTCCAAATACGCGCTGCAAAAGTTCACAACACAACCAAATACAGAAATGTGCTGCAAATAACACAGACCACAACGGAAATGTTACCAGGGGAACCAAATAAGTGACGAACCAGGCTGGGACGTGCTTATTGCTCGTGAGCTTCCCTATGCCATACTCCCTTCGAAGGGCAGACGGCAGAGCCCTTGAAGTGGGACTTTGGAGTGAGCAGGGCACCAGTGTGCCATTATGTAGTCGTGTGGAACACACTTGATGAAGGAGCAACGAAAGACAACGTAATTCCTCATTATTTTCACCTGGGATGTTCCCATGACAACGCAGCACGGTGTCCATCAGCTGGTCTTACGACAGAAATATAATGCTGTTAACATAACGGTTGCAAAAAAAATAAAAAATTTTACTTTACAAAAAAGCTTTTATAATATGCGTGTATGTGTGTCTCAACTTTAAAACTGTGGACCCTACATTACCTAACATTTCTTATGAAACTTTTCTTTATGAAAATTTAAACATAACATGAAACAATTTGTACAGTGTACCTGATGAAAGATAAATATCTTTCCTTTATGTTCTTTTTCTCCAGGGTATATGCAGGAATCTTGAAGTTAATTTTAATACCTTTTCAAGACTTTTTCAAGACCTTCTCAATATTTTTTAATACCTCACCGCCACTTCAAGCTGTAACCATTTACATCAGTGATACTTTTAACTTTACAGTTTTAGTTTGTGATAAAGACTATAGACCACTCTGATAAAAAAAAAAAAAAAAATCAAATAGGCTGGGATAGTAAATCAAAGCAAAGTTTATTAAAAAACAAAACAAAACTTTGCTCCACCCTCAACAACAATCATGCTGACATGTGCCTCAGTTCTTCGTAGTAAAAAAAAAAAAAAAAAAAAAAAAAAAAGACTAAATTCACACACTTTTACGATGTTTTTGGGACTCAAACTGTTGGACAGGTAATTCAGAAAAAATTAGGGATGCACCAAAATGAAAATTCTTGGCCGAAACCGAAAACCGAAAAAGAGGAACCCAAGGGCGAAAAAACTAAAACCGAAACACCGAAAGAAATTATGCCAATTATAAGTACCATTGCATTTATGGTTATGACTGTGTACAAACTTTACTAAAATCAAGGCATTGCGATTGCATAAATTAACATTTTCAAAGAATAAATCAATTACAAATTATGCAAATATTTATTTAGCACAATGCACAGTATAAAATAAAATTAAAACTAAAATGTTTAACTTGACCCCACTCATGTGTACATTAAATAATAATCTGCTGGCCTGCAGAAAGGTTTTAAAATGAAATGTTCTCTCATAAAAACAAAGCCGAGCACGAACTTCTCATCACACCAGCACCAGTTTGCACGTCTAAATTAGTTGATTACATTTTAAAAATGAGCATACACTTGCATAAAAAGCCATTTTAATGAACAAAGGTCCATTAATACAAATGTACACGAAACTTAATGAAATATGTTTAGTGAAATTAGAAAATATTTAAGAGAGCGTTAATTTAGTACATATTCCTATACATATTTTGTTGTAATGTCACAAGTAATAATCTCAGGGTTTACTGGGTTTTACATGATTATTTTTGTATTGGTGGTGGTACTAAAAAATAAGCATTGTCACGTGTTTATCTTTCTTCTTCTCACCGATTCCTGATGGTTAGAGGACAGTTACTTGAGTCGTCCCCTGTCGTTTCAAAGAATAGTACAACGGCGAGCGCGTCAAGTATAAACGCCTCGACCGTTTGGAGAGGTGCGCGCGCTGTCTGTGGAGACGCGCGAACAAGGCTTCCGTCTCCTCGCGGGTTCAGATATTCACTGAAATACGTCCACACCGCAGACGTGTTGCTTCAGACAAGCACGTGCAGGTCGCGGTTTCTGTTTGCGTCATCACAACATTTCGGCCGTATTGTTTCGGTGATAAAAGTCTTTCGGCCGAAAACCGAAAATGCACTTTTGGGCTATTTTCGGCGGCCGAATATTCGGTGCATCCCTAGAAAAAATACTTTCAAAATGTAAGACTTTATAAAGCCGTGATAAGACTTTTTAATACTTTTTAAGGGTCTTAATTTTCCCAAAATTGATTTATCACCTTTTAATACTTTTCAAGACCCCGCGGATACCCTGTTCTCAATCTTTTTTATTTATTTATTTATTTTAGTTTTCAGCTCATTGTTCTTTTCTCATTTGTATTCTGATGACATTGAACATATTGTTAATACATTTTGTATATTGTATACAAGTTGTATGTCATAAAAAAAGTAATCTCTGTATGTTTTGCAAAAATAAATAAATACATAAAGTAGAATTTTAAGCTGTAAGCACCAGCACGTCCCAGCCGGGTTCGTCACTTATTTGGTTCCCCTGGAAACATTTCCATTGTGGTCCGTGTTATTTGCAGCGCGTTTCTGTATTTGGGTAGCCTGGGAAAACCCAGACAACTTCCGGCAAATTTAGATTTGCTCTGAAAGTTAGTCTGGCAAAGAGCTCATTCAAACTCATTTCCAATCCGCCGAAATCAAGGCACCAATCAGAAACGTTGGGGCGGGCTTTACACGATGACGACAGTGCTGGGATTTTGAAGCAGATTTTGTAGCCTACATTACAAAGGTGGATGCCACCGTCGAACATCACTCGTTCGAATCAGCTATCGCGTGTGTTTTAAGCGATTTGAACGTTTCCCTTTTGTTAAAAACCGAGCAAAGAACAACACTCGGAGATGTTTCTGCCGCTCTGCATACGTCATCTCCTTCATCGCTCTGATTGGGTTTAGGTCTATCTGCGATGTCCGTTGGTGACGCCCCTCTGGAAATGATTTGTCTATGACGCTTTGCCAGACCATAACTCAGTTGCAACTGAGAATGGTCTGGTTTTAACCAGGCTAGTATTTGGGTGGTGTTGTGAGTATTTGGAGCTCACGTGTGTTGTGAAACTGCTGAAGATGTTTTTTTAATTTGCGGGTGCTTTTTTTATTTGCATGCGTTTTTTGTTTTTTTTTGTATGCGTTTTCTTCTATTTGCATGTGTTTTCTTCAGTTGCAGCGCGTTGAGCTTTCTCGGCCACCGTACAAACAAGACAATATAAAGGAGAATCATAATGATTATCATTCTAATTGGGGAATTCAATTTCCATCCTACCTCTACCAAGCTTCATCATTCGTGGATATCTGAGGTGGTTGGTGGTCTCAAATGGTGCGTCAGAGTACTCAATGAAACCAGAGAAGTGAACTGTGGATGAAATGAGTTCATGTCGAGAAGCTAATGAGAAAGCTAGCAAAAAAGGGAAATGTGTGACATAAAAGTATAACACAACCAATCAAAAGTTGTTGTTTTTTTGTTTTGTTGAAAGGAATTAATACTTTTATTCAGCAAGGATGCATTATATTGATCAAAAATGACAATTAAGACATATCATCTACTACCTAAAATATTCAGCACCAAAACTGTTTGCAACTTTTATAATAATAAGAAATGTTTCTTGAGCACCAAATCAGCATATTTGAATGATTTCTGAAGGATCATGTGACATTGAAGAAGAGTAATGGCTGCTAAATATTCAGACATTTAAAATATATTACAGAAAATAATGTATTAGTTATTTTATATGATCAAATAAATGTAGCCTTGGTGAGCATAATAGACTTCTTTCAAAAACATTAAACCATCTTACGACCTCAATGTTTTGAACAGTAATGTATGTTACGAATCATTTATCTCTGCACACTAGTGGACTATCAAGAAACTGGAACTATTACTACATTAAAACCATGTTCAGTTCAGCAATTTACTTGATACAGATGCATGCATTGGTACGGGTGGGCCTTCCCCTGCATGGACAACCTCTTTGAGAATTCCTCCATCCCCTAATATGTCTTGCATTTGCCATGCCAGACGCTGAAAAGGAGTCTAAGACAACAAAAAAGATTATTAACATTATTACAAAATATATTACAATTATTTAATTCATGTTAAAACTAATTTATCTGAGTTGAGCAACAATTTTTACAATTTATAAAACAGTTCATTTTAGATAAGCTGCCATATTTTGCTAAATGTGGCAACATGAAACCCTGCTAACGGAAATGTAACAGTATTTAATTTAACATGAACTCCCACTACCAAAAAAACACACCAAATACAACAGCAACAGGGACTTGGTACCATGTTTTTTGGACCATGTTAAAACCTTGGTACTCTTTGAAGCATCTTGAAGAAGTACATTTATACATGGCCCGTGATGCTAATTGAATATATTGTGGTAACGTTAGGCCTATAACGTTATCAGCACTATGAAACTACTGTCTGATATCGTCATTATGAAGGTACCACAGTACTACATTGTACCACAACACTATTTGTGCATACACTGACCGTGTCAACGTGTGAGGTCAACAACTCAACTGGCCTTGCCACCAAGTAGATCATCATCATCATCATCATCATCACACGTGGAGGTTTATAGCTCTTGACTTTGTTTAACATTTTTGTGCATTCTTCTACAATGTGTCATTTGTGCAATTTTAGTCTTGTAGAGAACTTACGTTAATATAAATCTCACTTTAAGCACACATAAAGAGAAGTGAATTGCTTGCTAGCGTGTTTTGTTGTAAACAATAAAATAAATAAATGCATCATTAGAAAATCAGCTTATTTACTGATGTGCAGTTAACTTTACCTCGATTCCAAACTGACGGCGCTCATCTGGAGCCATAAACTGTAATATTCTCGACGTCCTGCCGTTTGTTGACATTGTTCATTTGTTTTAGACTTTTGAGCGGTAATTCTGCAGGTGAATTGGTCTCATTGAATCTGTCACTGCCAGTGACACTTGCGCCAACTAGCGTCCATCATGTTCATATACAAACGCTGTTGTAAAATGAAGAAATAAGCCACAAGACGCAGGTGTTGTTATGTCAAATCTATAAAAACGGTTACTCTTTTCAACATACAATATTTGGAATTTGGGACACACTTTTTCTAATTTTACAAACTATTTAGGATGGATATGCACATTGGGACCATAGGATTGGGACGCAGGGTTAGGCTTTTCTCAAAAACACGCCCACATCAGGGGAAGCTCATGAATATTTATGTCTTCGCTACCCACTGGAACCTGGAATAAAAAAATAAAATAAAAAAAGACGGCTGTGCAAATGATTAATACTGCTGTAATTTTAGCAGTATTAATCATTTGCACAGCCGTCTTTTTATTTGTATTTTTTTTATTCGAAAGCAACATAGCGACGGGAGGACGGTTAACTGTGTCGTGCAGTGTGCGCATGTCATTAAATCAAAGCTTGACACTTTAGCGACTACAGTACGTTTGGATTAATTGATCGAAATGATTTTATTATATTCACGTCCGCATGATCAATTCATGTTTATAAAACAAATAATGTTGTAACAATACAATAAAACAGTATTGTTGTACAATACATCATATTTTAATGATTTCAGATCTTGGGAAGCAGATTCACAGATGCACATTACAGGTGCAAGAAAAAAATCCCAATTAATTTAAGGCTACATGAGATAAACTTGTATAGTGAGAACATAATCTTACTGTAAATCATTGTCTTTTTTTTTTTTTAATTTTTTTTTTTTTTTTACAGGAAGATATGGCATTTTTTGGAGGCCTCTACAGTGGAGCCCAATGAGGAAGTCTAGGAACAACTGAAGGAGGCAGCAATGAGGGAAGTAATCATTAAAAAGTTTTCTGAGAATATGTGCACTGTTTATTACATGGTGTATTTTCATTTAAATTTTATTACATGGTGTATTTTCATTAATAATGTACACTGCCGCTCAAACGTCTGGAAGATATTGAAAAATGTAATTTATTCCTTTGATGCCAAGCTGAATTTTCAGCATCATTACCCCAGTCTTCAGTTTCCCATCCTTCAGAAATCTTTTTAATATGCTGACTTGTTGCTCAAGAAACATTTATTTTATCAGTGTTGAAAACAGTTGTGCTGCTTTATATTTTGTGTACACTACAGGTAAAAAGTTTCAAACTTTTTTTTATTTTACTTATTTTTACTTTTTGAACTTTATATTGAACTTTGTGGTCATATAATAAATGCCAATATTCCAAGACATGACAATATTCCAAGACATTATGGATATTTTCACATTTCTGGGGTTCTCAGAAGCGGAAGTCTTCATAGTTGGGTACATTTCTAAAGTAGTGAATGAAAACTACAACAAAAAAGTTTTTTGTGTTTACATTTGACCAATAGGAAAGAAAGTTTTTGTTCTTTGCTTTCTGTTAAACTCTATTATGCTGCAACATTTTTCCTCTTCAAAAATAGTGGTTTGATCTTTCTGATGAGATTTTTGTCCACATTGTTTGAACAGAGGCAAGTTTTATATTTATTTAAGTATTTATACACAATAGGTTATGGAGGAAAAATCACTGTTCAATTTTTTTAACGTTTTGTTTCTTGTTACAAACATTTTCTGTGAATGACGTGTTGGGGTGCAATGGTATTTTCAAATCAAGACCATTATTATTTTATTAATTATCTTAAACCTCAAAATAATTTGAATATAGTATAACGGAATGATCACGGCACAAGACATGTTTCGACGAGACAGATCTTTCAATTCAAAGTAGGAAATAGTTTTCACTGGGACAACTATAGCTCGGCAAAGGTCATATTAGGCCTACCTACTATGTCAGAGTTGAAATAGACTAATGTAGCAATAACTGTATCTGTACACCTGAGGTGAGAACATTTGACTTCTTGAAAATCCAACAGGAACCGTTTCAAATGAAATCCTGCACAAATGGCAATGTTTCCTAAAAATGACCTGATTATTTATGGCCTGTCTGTTTTAGTGAAACACCCAGTGATTAGTTGAAATGGATACACTAAAGCAAATAAAGGAGGAAGTGCTTTAAAGTGGAGTGAGGAGGAGCCTTGATCCGCACACCTTCTTGACGTGCCATATACGGACTTTGCTCTTACTTCACCTGAGTTTTCACTCACTCTTTCTGCATCTTCGGGATCACGCACAAACAGGCTCCAGCACGATATTGCTGCAGTATGGTGAGTTTATGCATGCAAATATAAGAAAAATATTCAGCGTACAGTTGTCTTTGTTCCAAGGTATAACCTATTTATCTAACATTCCAGTAAACGGTAGAACTTTTTAAAAGGTTACTATGTCATGTTATGCAACAAAATATATATAATGCACTTTATCTTGATTTGGCTGTGTTTTCACTTTTGTTCATATGTAGGCCAAACAGTAGCTTATCAGACAGTTATGCAATAAAGTCACGCACTTATCATCTGACAGGGAAGATTATTGTAAGACAGCAAATATAAACACCATTTATGGAAATACAGTGGCCCTAAAATGACATTTAAGCCACACTTAAAACATGAACATCTTTGCAATAAATACAAAATATAAAAACAGATGTCATTTCATCAAGACACAAGCACAGTTTACAAACAAAACATTACACAAAAAAGGTTTTGTTAGTTTAAATGGTCAAATAATATATACTGTACACAAAATGTGAGACTTAGTGGATCATGCTTATAGTTAATGTCATTAACTACACCTATGGTTACGGCTAATCCCAAACTATTCCCGTATTCCTATCATGTTTTTTTGTTTTGTTTTGCATTATTCAACTTAATTCTGTCATAAATAAATCATGTTAACTGATTTCAAATAGGTTTTTTATGTATTTAAAGCAAATGAGAAGCAGAGTACTTTCATGCAGAATGTTGTATTCATAGCGAAGCATGTCATCCTAAATATTGTCAATATTTGCATCTGATTTAGGATAAAATTGAGACTGCTAAGAGCGAGGCAGAAGAGGTGAAAGTCACTATGCTGGAGAATGCAAATGGAGCAGGAAAACCCAAGAATGTCAATCAAAAAGCTGAAAAGCCTCAGTCCACCGTGAGTCTCCTTGGTGTACAGTACATCAAGATTAATGTCATATCTAGAATTCATACATCATGCTATATTTATTACAATATTACAATTACATATGGATGTGTGTAACTCTAAACAGCTGAACAGTCTTTGTGTTTATTGGTGTGACAGGCATATTATTACTGCTATACTGAACATATAAACATTATTACTCACAGTATTCTGTGAAACTTAAGAATAACTTTGGTAACACTTTAACATAAAGTTCATTTGTTAACATTAGTTAAGGTATTAGCTAACATGAACTAACAATGATCAATACATTTGTTACTGTATTTATTCATCTTTGTTAATGTTAGTTAATAAAAAATACAGTTCATTGTTTGTTCATGTTAGTTCACAGTGCATTAACTAATGTTAACAAATACAACCTTTGGTTTTATTAACGTTATTAATATTAACAAAGATTAATACATGCTAAAGAAGTATTGTTCATTCTTAGTTCATGTTAACTAAGGTATAGTTAACTAATGTTAACTCATGAACCTTATTGTAAAGTGTTACCGATAACTTTACACACTTCACACACTATATGTTAAAGGTTCATGCTCTTCATATCCAGTTCTATTTTCATTTCAATTTCAGAAAAAGATTTGTAAGGAATCTGCAGCAAAGCAGAAAGGGAACCAGAAGATGGAGTATCTGCGGGCTAATAAAGGACTCGTAGCCATTGTACTGATTTCAGCTGTTGTTATATTCACTGTTGTGGTTGCCATGCTTGTCACTAAAGAAACAGAAGGGCACAGTCACTCAGAAGTGTACAACGCCACAGAAATTCCATAGCAACAACTGCAGAAGACTGCTGGGACAAATCTGTTTGTTTGTTTAGACTGTTTTCTGATAAGAAATGATCATGTTTTATGTTATAAAGTGCCATCTGATCTAACATGACATTACATTTTCTGTTTCAAAATGAAAATACTGTCATTTACTCACCCTCAAGTTGTTTCAAATCTGTATGAATTTCTTTCTTCTGCTGAACACAAAGGAAGATATGTTGAAGAATGTTGGTAACCAGACAGTTGATGAACCCCATTGACTTCCATTGTAGGAAAAACAATACTAGCCTATGGAAGTCTGTGGGGTCCATATAGTCTGGTTACCGACAGATCTTCAAAACATCTTCCTTTGTGTTCAGCAGAAGAAAGAAATTCATACAGGTTTGAAACAACTTGAGGGTGAATAAATGATGACAGAATTATCATTTTGAAGCGAACTATTCCTTAAATTATAAGAAATTATATCAATGCTTTTGCATTCTCTTGCAAACGTTTTTTGAGTTATTTGCGAGCGATCGCAAAGTTTCTCGGGGAACGCAAAACTTTTGCGATGAGAACGTAAAATCTTTTTCTTTTTTTTTCTGTTTTCTCCCGTCTCATAGCCTATTTTCCCATCATGTCCCTTAGGAGCTCCGTAGTTTTAAGATTGTTTGTATAAAGAAGACAATTTAAACACTCCGGTTGCGAGTGAAAAATCAGGTTGTGGGTAGGCTACGTTTTTTCACTAAGCTCATTAGTTTTAGGCTACTCTGTCATATAAACATGACTTGCCAGGAAAGGTTATGAAGAAAAACACATTCCCCATGAAAATTGTGCTGCTGATAGTTTGGTATGTAAACACAAGGAGATGTGATTGAAAGTAAGGGCATTTTCTGAGGTCAAGTGCACATATCCTTTTACAGCAGAGTCGAAGGAGACATTTTAATTAGGTCTACAAATGATTACTCATCTTAAAGACAGGCTTTGTTTGAGGCTAAAGATTGTATATAAAAAGAACTTATCAGCATTAACAATGTTTCTTGTTCACAACCACATTTTTTTATGTTGGAAACCATCAC